GTAGGGTATGTAGTGATGTCCGCTCTTTCATTCCGATACTGGTAATTTGTGCCTTCTTGATCACTCTAGGTGAAAGTTTTACCAATTTTGCTAATTTTTTCACAGGACAAAATTTAGATTCCACTGAGTTCTCTATTTCATAGATTTCTAATACATTTTGTTGTAGTTTCTTAAGGTTGGAAGCTCACTGATTTTAGATCTCCTTCCTAACATAAGCATTTAAAGCTATACATTTCCCTCTAAGCATTGCTGTACCTGCATCTTAAAAATTTTGGTATGTTGTATTTTCTTTCAAGATATTTTCTGATGTTACTGGTAATTTTTTTCCTTGATCCATTAAAAGTTATAATTGTGTTGTTTAATTTCCAAGTATTTGTTTTATTCTGATTTTTTTTGTTGATTTCCAATTTAATTCCATTGTCACCTGAAAATACACTTTGGGTGGTTACAATCCCTTTAAAAGCGTCAGGACTTGTTCTATGTCCCAGTGTGTGGTCTATTCTAGATAGTGCTCCATTTGCCCTGGAAAGGCATGTGTGTGGTGCTGTTACTGGGTGGGGTCCACAACTGTCAGGTAAGTCAGTGGGGCTAACAGTGTTTTTCAAGTTACTGGAGTGGGATATTGAAATATCTGAATCACAATCGTTGAATTAACCATTTCCCTTTTTGTCAGTTTTGGTATCACGTATTCCAGGTCTTCCATTTTTGGTGTCTACAGTAATAATTATTATGTTTTCCTGGTGTATTGACCCTTTTACCATCATGAAATGCCCCTCTTTGTCTCTAATAATATTCATCTCAGGACTGATTTCCGGGGTGCGTGGGTGGCTCAGTCAGTTAAGCGTCTGCTTTCGGCTCAGGTCATGGTCCCAGGGTCCTGGGATCGAGCCCCGCATTGGGCTCTCTGCTTGGCGGGAAGCCAGCTGCTCCCCCTGCTTATGCTCTCTCCCTCTCTCCCTAAGTAAATTTAAAAATCTCTAGTTTTTAATGATTTTTTAAAAATATTTTTATTTATTTGACAGAGACAGCAAGAGAGGCAACACAAGCAGGGGGAGTGGGCAGAGGGAGAAGCAGGCTTCCCGCGGAGCAGGGAGCCCGATGCGGGGCTCGATCCCAGGACCCCGGGACCATGACCCGAGCTGAAGGCAGACGCTTAACGACTGAGCCACACAGGCGCTCCAATAAAAAAATCTTTAAAAAGTTTTTTAAGAACAACCCCTGATTCTGTCTGATGTGAAAATAGCCTCTCTAGCTCTGTACTGGTTATTGTTTGCTTGATAGATCTTTTTCTATAATTTTCCTATTTGTATCCCTGAATCTAAAATGTGTCTCTTGTAGACAGCACCCAGTTGGGGCTATCTCTTGCACCAGTCTGACAATCTCTGCTCTTCTGCTGCGGGGTGTTCTGTGCGTTCACATTTGACGTTACCACCAATCGGTTAGATTTGTGTGGGCTACCTCGCCATCTGCTTGTTTCCTTTTACATCTTTCCTTGTGTAGCTGTTCTATCAACCTTTGAGAAAAGAGTATTAAGATCTCTAAAATGGAACTATTTCTTCTTTCCATTGTGTCAGCTTTTGCTTCATAAATCTGTTGTTGCATGTGTACACCCTATAATTGTGTCTTCCTGACACAGCCACCCTGTAGCACCAAGATGTTCGTCCTCTTCTCTAGAAACATCCTTCGTCCAACACTGTTTTGTCCAACACTCACACTGCGGCTCCGACTCGTCTGGTTACCATCTGCATGGTGTGGTTTACACCCTGTACTTTGAGCTTATTTGTGCTGCTGGATTAAAGCATGTCTCTTGCAGACAATGTGTGGCTGTGTCTTCTTCATCCGGTCTGACAACTTCTGCCTTCTCATTGGTGGGTTTAGTCCTGTTCATGTTGAAGGTAAGCATTGATCCATCTGATTTACACCTATTTTGCTATTTGTCTATAGGCCTCATGTACCTTTTTTTCTTCTAGTCTGCCTTTAATTGTCTTCTTTTGCAGTATACAAGTGCTTTTTAATGTAATGCTTTAATTCCTCTTGATTTTAAAAATTATTTTTGGAGTCACGTTTGTGTTTACTTTAAACAAGTCTACTTCTAGTTAACACTGACTTAATTCTGTTGAGCTTTGTTACCTCTGCTCCAACATGGCCCCGTTCCCCCTCCTCTGTGCTTACTACCCTACATGTTACATCTGTTTATTATGACCCCAACGAGTGTTATACTTGCTGCTTCCACAATCTTACGTTTTGTAGAGTAACTGAGGGAATGAGACCCCATTCCCTCCAGTGCATCAGGTTCCGTCAGCGTGTGTCTTCAGCTCAATGCCTTCTGTTAGGATTTCTCGTAGGGTAGGTTGGCTAGCAACAATTACGTTTTTGTTACCCTGTGATGTTTATTTTGTCTTAACCTTTGAAGGAGAATTCTATTAGATATAGAATTCTTGGTTGACCCAGGCTTGCGGGGGGGGGGGGGATGGCCTTTTAGGCTCTTTTAGAATTTAAGGCCTATAATCCTTAAAACTGTTGAAGACAGGAAAGACAGGGAAAGTGAAGGAGACACAAGCTGCTATAGGACGACAAGGTGAAGGATGTCCTCACAGGGAACTCTGAGTCGACAGCCAGCGAGGCTGCTCAATGGCTGTGGGGCAGAGCCGTGCTGATGCCGAGCTGCCCCAGGCTGTGCTGGTGTTGCAAGCACCCCTGTCCTTTGAGGGGGGCTGGGGCACCGCATCTGCAACATGCTCTCAGTGGCTCAGAGATACACTGACCATAAAGGGTAGGGAGCAAATCTGGCAAAATTCTGGGGAATCTGGGTTAAGGGAACATGGGAGTTTTTTATATTCTTCTTACCATTTTCTTGTGTGTTATTTCTGAAGCATTTTCAAAATAAATTACGAAACTATCAAGCTGGGACACTCATTTTACAATATATCTCAAAATATACTCCAAAGAACTTGGAAAAAGGTAAATATTGAAAACTAGAAGAAAATGGTATGGGTATGGAAAAAACCTATCCAAACAAAGAAATCTTCTGTGAGGCAGAAAGGGACATAACCATAGATTTGAGACATAAAAATATTAAGTATCTAAAATTAAAAAAAGGGGCGCCTGGGTGGCTCGGTTAAGTGGCTGCCTTCGGCTCAGGTCATGATCCCAGGGTCCTGGGATCGAGCTCCATGTCGGGCTCCTTGCTCAGCGGGGAGGCTGCTGCTCCCTCTCCCTCTGCTGCCGCTCCACCTGCTTGTGCTCTCTCTCTCTCTATCTCTCCCTCTATGTCTATCAAATAAATAAGTAAAATCTTAAAAAAATCATAAAAAATTAAATTAAAAAAATCAAATAAAAAATTAAATAGCAAATTGGATAAAAGATCGATACCCCTCATCTTGAGGATTTCATATATGTGAAGGACAAATGAAAAAGTAGATAATTCACAGAAAAAAACAAGAGATGACTTAAATGGAGAAACTCAGGATCACAGTCACAGGAATGAGGACCCATCCCTTCCAGAGTGGCAACAGGGAGACACTGAGACACACGGGGCAAGGCGCACACAGGGCAGCCCCCCTGTCACTTCTCAATTCTTGATCGATACATCTGGAAAGCATCAAGGGGGTCCTCGTGTTCCCTCCTGGAAACGCGTCTGGGGAGAGAATCCAGTGAGGACCAATGTCCCTGCACAAAACTTGCACACACTGTGGACAGTGAGGGGGAGGTGGGAAGTGCACCAAGGCCAAGGACACGGCCAGGTCACAGGCTTCTGTATGGAGAGGAAGACGAGCAGGGCAGCAGCTCCCCTGCATGCACTGCTGGTCTCACCTCAGTCCTGTAAAGACAGGTCTGAAACCCACAACTGCACGGGGACGGTGCAACCGGGGTGTGTGAGGACAGCTTGCCTGCCCCGCACAGGCGCAGCGGATGTCGGGCCCAGAGGACGCTCCCAACAAAGGTGAGCGCATGGGGGGCAAGAGCCAGCGCCAAGAGGACCACCACCGCATGCACCACGGAATGGCATCCACGGGAAGCTGAACAGGACTAGAGAGTAAGTGTCACGAGCTCTCACCAGAGTGGGACAGGGAGGCCCGTGCGTGGGAATAAACAGGCTGAAATGGGAAACTCCGTACCCGGGGGGTGGGGCAGGGTGGGTCCCCTGCATCCCTGAGCTGAATTCGCTCCAAGCCGGCACATCAGGCCTGAGGTGTGCAGTGTGGGGGCAAAAGGCAAGCAGGGGGATGAGAGGCTGTGAGCAGGATGAACAGCCATGCTGGGGTGCCTCCCGGCTGGCAGGAACAGCACGAGTGGTGGAAATGCAGAGCTGCATCTGGGACGCGCCACGGGACAGTCCCCCAGGGCAGGTGCTGCAGGCCCCCCCCACTCCCACTCAGCCGTGAGGGAGACAGCAGGAGGCTCTAGGTGCGACCCACAGATGGCCTGCCTCTCGGTCCTCCTCCGAGGCAGCTACTGGAATATCACCATCAGCAAGAAGCAAAGGTGAGGCAGAGAGCAGAGAAGCTGGGGTCAAGGGCAAGCAAGCTTGGTCACAAATCATGAATATCCCCCCTGCAGGCCTGAGCTCACTGGGTGCTTGGTGAGGAGGTGGGGGCAACAGCAGAGGGGCTAGGCCAGGGGGGCCCACCCTGACCCCAGCGGGGAAGGGGCCCGAGCCTGCTGGCGGGCACACGCACTCCCCTCAGAAACCCACCAGCCTCTCCAACAACTCCCAGGAAGCAAAGCTGGTGATGATACCATTTTGCTCCAGGCCGAGAGGAGACACGCTACCGCAAGAGCACTCTGTCTGTGGCGTGTTCTGAGGTGCTCATAACGGGTCCCCCAACGGGCCCAGCAGCCACACCACTTTGGGGAACAGGTCGCTCCCGTGCTGACTTTGTTGAAGGACAGCACGGACATGGGTGGGTTCTGATGGGTTTGACTGAATGTTCCTTTCTGAGGAATGGAGCTCAGCCCACGTGCTGACATGGGGTATGGGTGCAGGGACCCCCACTTACCCATGCGTCCATGCTGAGGTGGGCTGATCAGAGAGATTCTTGCTGGGCCAACTGCCACCTCAGGCTAAGGTGTAAAAAGAAAACAAGTCAGTTTCCAATGCGGCCATTTCTGAGTGAGATTCTCCGTATTTACTAAGAACATACTTAGTGTCTGCAGTCAGCTGGGGAAATTCCTGGGCTGGCCGGAGACAGGCCCCACACTGTTGTGCCCCGCAGCCCCAGGTAGCCCACAGCAGCTAATGCATGGAGGGCTCCACTAAGTGCTTTTAAGAGTTTCAGAAGAGAGAAAAGTCAAGTCCTTGACTGACATCATAAATTTTATCGTTTTAAGATTTTATTCGTTTTGAGAGAGAGAGAATCTCCAGCAGACTCCCCGCTGGGGGCACAGCCTGATGTGGGGCTCGATCCCATGACCCTTGAGATCATGACCTGAGCCAAAACCAAGTCAGACACTTAACCGACTGAGCTACCCAGGCACCCCTGATATCATAAATTTTAAAATCCTGATTAAATCCTCATTTTGTGCATATAGTTTTATCACCTTGCAATTTAGATGCTGATGGGGCGAGGTGTTATCAAATCACAGGGAGCCCTGCTCTGGCCATGCACCTGTCAGGTACCCACTCCCCGACTTCCTGAGAGAACACCTCCCTGGTGCTGATGCTAGTGATGGGGGAGCCCTCCTCCCAACACAGAGATGCTGCCAGGAGTCGGGCCAAATGCTATTTCCAGCTGCCCTGGCCTCACTCCTATGGCCCCTCACATGCCCGGACCCACTGGTCTGTCACTAGACTTGGCCACCAGCCCCCAGGCCCCTGACGGCAGCCCATCTTCCCAGCTCCCACCCCTGACACACCCACCCCAGTGGTCCTTTTACTCCATGGTCAGGCAGTCTCCCCTGGCGGCTCTGCTCCAGGGCACCCTCTGGGAACCCACCCCCTGGCTCATACCAACAAGCCAGACTCAACCCTGAAGGGACTGGCCCCCTCGGGCAGAGACACTGCCAACAGCACAGCCCTGCCTGGGGGGCTGGCTCTCCACCGAGATGGCCACTGACGGCACGCTCACACCCAGGACAGCATGCTCACACACACTGACAGCATGCTCACATGAACCCAGGA